TTGTTTTGTTGAATATGATAATCAGAAATAAAATGTTAAAAATAAATAAGGGTGTGGTAATTGTGGTTATTATTCAATAGCCCAATTACTTAAGTGTTGGCCTAAACCAAAACTCTCGACTACGAGCCCATGGCCTAATATCCAACAGTCACACTACTCGGATAAACTCTTTGTTTCAAGTTCATCAAGGTCTAGCCATTTCGTACTACGGTCTATCAGTATTCTTCTTCACTTGTAAGTGAGAAGTCTTAGGTTCAATTCTCGCCAAAGACGAATTTAAACCATATTATTGCTAGCTCATTATGAGACTAAGCTCACCAATTTTCCCTTAGAGCAGCTCCAGCGTGTGCTAGAGCCCTAGGGACAGGCCTGCGAACAGTGGCAGGTAGCCCGAGCAAGCAAGCCCAACATGTGCTGGCGAGGGAAAGGCCCGACACGAGTTGCCAGCCCGAGAGCTCGAAGGCTACGTGACGCAAGGCTGACGTCTGGGCGACGTCAGCCATGTTTTATATATTTTTTGCGTTAGGCGCGTGCGCTTCAAGAGCGCGTGGGAGCGCATCGTCCGACAGAATTTCAGATGTGAGGTTCGCGGTGCACTTCGGCAAAGTTACCGTTGGGGAGGCCACGTGGCTTCCCCACGTCCGTTGGATTTTAACGACTACAATTTGTGGACCGTTGGATTTCCAACGGTAAAAAAATTTAAAAAGTTAATTCAATATCATCCTTTGGATCTGAGATCAACTGTCCATGTTATTCGCCTTTATAAATTAAAAAACAAACAGTTTAAAAATTAGAAATCTTACTGTTGTGCCACGTTGCACAATTTGGAGTGTTGGAATTCAATTTTTTTTAAAATCTAATGGCAGAGATTAATTAGGGGAATACAAATTTAAAAAAAATGTAAAAAATTAATAAAAATCAGAAAAAAAAATTGAAAAATTAAAAAAAAAATTGATTTTACTTTTCTATAAATACCTTCTCTTTATCTTCTACCTTACAACACAATTTCATTCTCAACTACTTTCAACCACATTCCTATCTTTCTCTCAAAGTTTCAATCCAATTTTTTTTCCAACAAAATGACTACTGATGCAGGTACGAGTTAGACGCTTATTGAAGATATTGCGTTGTGTACTAGCTAGGTTGAAGTTACTCATGATCCAATTACAGGTAATGAGATGGAGTTGCAAGAAATGTGGAATCTTATCCATACCTATTTTCTTGAGAAAAATGGTGGGAAAAGATCCAAAGAATCAATGTCCAGTCGTTGGAAATTACTTAGCCAATCATTTAGTACGTGGAGAGACGCCTTGGCACAAGCTAGTGCTAATCTTCGAAGTGGGGAAATTTTAGTGGATCAGGTAACAATATATTATTTATTTGTTTGTACTATACCCAAATTTACACTATAATTATTTTTTTGTATTATTTATTTGTGTTATTTATTTGTTACCTACTTTCATTATAATTATTTGTTTGTCTTATTTATTTGTTAGGTACTTTCATTATAATTATTTGTTTGTATTATTTATTTGTTACCTACTTTCATTATAATTATTTCTTCTCCTGCTTGGTATAATGCCAAAACCAAAAGGAAAAACAAATCATTCACCCAGTGGGAATGTTGGAATATTGTCAAAGATTGTCCTAAATTCAGAGTTGTGCCTGTCGGTCCAAAAGTTGCCATGAACAACACCCCTCTACACTCTACACCCGATCATTCAACCGGTGGGCATGTTCATGAAGATGACGTAGAAGACGTGCCCAAAATGCCCCCCCCCCCAAAACAAGCATCGGGGTCGACCCGTTATCCAATTAGGCCTCAAGGTAAGAAGACTTCAAAGAGAAAAGGGAGTGCTTCCAATAAGGATTATGCAAAGTATTTGGAAGAACTTTCTCGCCAAGGTGAATTGATTTTGGCGAGGGAAATGGCAAAATTTGAGGCTGATAAGGCTAGAGATGAAGCAAAGGCTGCAGCTGTTGAGAGAGCATTTCAAGCTAATGAGAGATAAAGAAAGCTACTTAGGCAAGAAATGGAATAGGTTAGAGAAGAAACAATGGCTCAATGAGATCATGACATTATGAACACGCCTTTAGTGGAAGTCGGAGAAAGCGGACGTGATGCGAATGAGGCGTTCAAAAGAAGTGAGAGCAAGAGGAGAGGGTCCTAGCACGACAACAGAAGATGATCTTAGGACCACAAATTGGTAAAGTGATGATGAATAGAGTACTTTAGGTTGTAATTTATTATTTATTGAATAGAGTACTTTATGTTGTTTCCAATTTATTGAATTTAGTACTTTATTTAAAGTGAGAGTAAATTTATTTAATTTGGTAATTTATTTATACGAAGAGAATCTTTATTCAAATGACCTAAACACACCAAATAAATTTACATAAATATACCAAATAATAAAAAACTCACTAAATGAACTAAAAAAATACACACCAAATAAAATTAAATAAACACACCAAATAAAAACAAACATAGTAAATGAACTTAAGTATCTTGATCTTGTTTCAATTCCCACCGGTCCTCTATCAAGTCAATTTGCTGGGCATTGTGCATATATGGCCTTTGAAGTGCAGTATATCGTTGAATGAGCCTTTCATTGTAACATTCATCCCTTTCTAATGGCTCGTGTTGCACGGGTTCTTCAGTGGCATCATGAGCACAATATATTTGTGTTTTGGAATTGTTCATTGTGTATGGCTCATATTCATCAACGACATCATAATCATACTCATCTTTCAGAATCATGTTATGAAGAATGATGCACGTCATCATGATGGATCAAAGCGACTTTACATCAAACATTCTGGCAGAACCTCTGACAATCGCCTATCGAGCTTGGAGGATACCAAAACAACGCTCCACATCCTTCCTGCACCCTTCTTGACAACTTGCAAAGTGTTTTTCCTTTACACTTCGCGGACGTGGCACTGTTTAGACAAATGTTGACCACCTTGGGTAAATGTTGTCTGTTAAGTAGTATGGCCCGTCGTACTTACGTCCGTTGACCCAGTATGTGACTTTTGTGCATTTCCTTGCAGGACATCGTTGAACACTGGGGATTGGCCAAGGACATTGAGTTTATTTTGAGCTCCCGGAACCCCGAAAAATGCATGCCAAATCCATGTATCAAAAGATGCCACTGCCTCTAAAATGATACTTTTTGCTCATTTTCTATCCCTATAAGTGCCTTGCCATGCACTTGGAAAAATTTTCCAAGTCCAGTGCATACAGTCAATGTTTCCAATCATCCCAGGAAAACCTCGCATCTCGCCCTTCTTCATAAGCCTTTGCAAGTCCATGTCAGTAGGTTTCCGGAGGTACTCTGTGGTGTATATAGATTCCATTGCTCCGCAAAACCTCATCAGGGACTCAAGGATAGTTAATTTCCCCATCCTCGCTATCTCATCCACTTAGTCTGTAGATGCTCTATATGCAAGCATCCGAAAGGCAACATTAATTTTTTGCTCAGGAAAGAGACCCATAGCACCAAAAGCATCTTTCTTTTGCATAAAGTAAGAATCATGGTTGCAAACAGTAATCATGATTTTGTTGAACAAATGTCATTCCATTATAAAACGATGTCTAAAGTACATATCAGGGAATGCACTATTACAGACAAAATAATCGTCCAAGAGATCTGTACCTCGTCGTTGCCTGCTTTTATCAAGGTTTGCGGAACGGATGGGCCTGCAGATCTGACCCACAACTTGGATGACTAGATGGGAATGTGAGGCTCTGCCCATTCTTGCTTCGTCATCTCTCCTTCTATACTCCTCAGCATCTTCCATCTCATTTTGGGCCACCTAGAGATTGAACATTCCTTCTGATTGGTTAAACAATTCTTCATTTTGCTGATCGATTTCCCACATCATCCTTAAAGAAGAAGACATTGTAAGAAGGAAGCAGAAACTATGAATAATGATACAGATTTTGATTTTGGTGAAGAATGAAGCGAAAACTATGACTAATGATAGAGATCTTGAGAAAATTGGTGTGAGATTTTCTAAGGATGGATGGTGGATTATATGGAGGATTTAGAAAGAATTAGCTTGTAGGGCATGCCATGTGGCATGCCGTCATTTGTTAAAAATCTGACCGAAATCTATCCTCAAAGATTGTAATCAAATTGTGACATGTGGCGCAACGTGATTGGTTAATAATCTTATCGGAAATCCATCACCAATAATTGTCTTTTCGGATAATGACACGTGGCGCAAAGAGAACGATTAAAAATCTTATATGAAATTACAAATAAAATTATCTTGTATCATTTTATAAATAAAAAAAAAAGTTTATTACTAATTGCTAGGGCTATTAAGTGTAGAGGTGGAGATGTAAAAGACGAATACTGTTCATTAAGGGTAGTTACTGTTCACTAGGTGGATAGCATAGTGGATAGCCCTAGGGGGCCTCCACCACGCTGGAACTGCTCTTAGTGTAGATATATCGTTTGGTCAAAAAAAAAAAAAAGTTCTTCAATGTCTTTTTTAGGACAAATTCTTCCGTGGGAGCTAAGCGAGACTCCCACACTCTTGTGAGTGGGAATGTGGGAGTGCGGGGTAATCCCATTCTTTGTGAGTGTGTTTCCGGTTACAACAGCATGATAGAATTTCTCCCGATTTGGATTAGAAATGAAATCTTTGCGTAATCTTGGTATTAGGTAATCTCTATCATCTTCCAAATCGTAATGTTAAGCTGGAGTATGCGCTAAATCTGAAGAAATAATAATGTAGTTTATCTTAAGATGTCTTAACCAACCAATTATTTTGTACGAGATTATGTTTTAACGTTAAGTTAGGGACATCCTTCTATGTACTGATCAACTGTAACAATATCATTTGTATTTTCTCGATTTGTACAAAACATATGAATATAATAAAGAATTATTAAATGGGACAAAACTTAAGAATATATCAATGGCGAATTATTTCTAAAAATGTTATGAAAATGTTTGTGGAAACTTTTAATTGATATTGGGCAACACTTCAAATCAAGTAAGTTTATGGAGAAATAAGCTTCCTCAATCTCATGTGGGGAAGAGTTTGCAAGACCAACATAATTGAGGCCACACAATTGTGCAATTTAAAATCTCGCTTTCACCGAAATTTGATGTCTGCACACGTGACAAAGACTTTGGGGCGTGACAGAAAAAAATGATCGAGGTCCAATTGTATATGCTGAATTAGTATTTACATGGAAGACTAAGCAGTTGGTCCTTTTCCTTGCCTTGATTTGTCTTTTCAATCCTTAATCTCTCACAAAATTTAATCAATAATTATGATACAATCACCAAGCAGTTGATCGATTCGGTCGTGGATGAATATGATTCTTGGATTTGATTTTCATAGCTCTAGCACTACAACTGTTGAAGCAAAAACATAATTCCAGGGTTAATTAGTTGAATATATAGAGTACTAGCAATTTAAATTTAAAATTTAAGTAATTAACAAAAAATAAATGATTAAGCAGAAACTACACATTCTGAGTCTGAGGTGATCCAGTTCTCTTTCTTGAGCTCCAAGTCAACCAGGTGTTGAAATTTTGTCGAATTCAAAGATGGAAGGCTTATGATCTGATCATTCTTGAGTGAAGATGCTGTTGAAAGTGCTGTATAGGCAGAGGATGTGGTGGAGCAGCTCTCCAAATCCCATCTGAAGCTGATCTTCGGCAAATCGTTGCTTAGTCGATCATCATATGCTACCGCTTTCAGAGTTGCCCGGTTTCGAAATTGCATAATCTGGATGGACAACATAACTCAAGTCTCAACCATAAACGATACCAATCATAGATGGGTTGATGTTACTTTTAAGACTCCGCGGGCACGTTATGAGAAACATAGAGTTAAGTAATGCCATATCTGCATAATTTAGGACCAGTTAAAGTATGTAACTTCGATTTCCACCCGGAGGTAACAAACATTCACAGTTACAGTTTTACTAGATTCTCTTGTTGCTATGTGTGGTAGTAAGTTTGAACATTAATGGCGAGAGAAGGTCGCAAGAACAACATATGGCTGCAGAACTAGTACTGTTGTGGACCTGCTTCTCTCAGAATATATATCAATACGTCCACGTCCACCCATTAAAAAATATCGGAAAAACAAAAAACGAAAACTAAAAACAAAATGGTTATCAATGAAGTTTAACCAAACGAAAAAATAAAATTGTACCTTTCGAGCAAAGTATTTTCCACCCTTTTCTGATTTTGCAGCAGCAGCCCATCTCAGAAGCTCCTTCATTCTTGACAGGGTTTTGGTTCTGTCCCCTTTAAGCGTTTCTTTCTTCTCTGACGTGCCACATTGTTCATTTGTGCTCGTTGAGGTTGATAACGTTGAATCAGTCACCGGTAAAACCTTGTTGCCTACATTCGCCGAATCCGCCTTGGTGCTACTAATTCCTAGACCTCCTGCAATATCGTCTTTCTTCATGATCTTCATAGATTGAATCCAGTGCTGCCTTGCCTGCCTTCTGTTTATGCTACTAAGTCTCTTCAGCTGAAGAGTGCTATAAAAGCAAGCAGTTGTCACATCTTTTCGACATAGAAATGTAAATGTCTTGAACTTCTTGCTACCCAATTTGCTTTCTTCAACTCCTTTTGATTTTCGATAAACACCAACGCTGCCGCGCCTAAAGACGATTACATAATTTGGTTTAACTTCTTGATCTGAAAATCAAGATAGAAAGTTCATAAATTAATAAATTGGTTAGTAAAAACCATGTACTGATGTTAATGGTCAAAACTCGGTTTCACAGCCAAAAAACACTTAAAACACCGTTTTGAAGGGAAAATAAAACATGAACCCAGCTGTTATTGCAATCGACTATTATCTTAAAGTGTTTCTTGTTAACATTAACAATTATCAAAGAAACTGCCCTGATTAAGTAAAGCGAGTTTGATATCTTACCATTAGTTGTTGCTTTCTTGTTGGTAGAACTAGAAATCTCCTCCCCTTCTTGTCCAACTTTGACTCTAAATAGCCATTGAAGAAGCTGCTTTGTTTACAAGAGAGATCAGTTTTGATCCAAAAATGCTACTATATACAAATATTTACACACTTTTTGAAGAAGCTGCTTTGTTTACAAGAGAGATCAGTTTTGATCCAAAAATGCTACTATATACAAATATTTACACACTTTTTTTTACCTGCATGATTATTGCTTGTATTTGGATCCTCCTTTATATAATGCTTGTGAGTTGTGGGTAGTGAGAAGCTGATGGAGGAGTGAGAAAGTTTGATGACTGTATTTTGGTCAAATGGACAGCACAGAGAGATCTACGTATGCTGTCTGCATGCTCACGATTCCTGTCTAGGGTTTTGGGGCCTTTTGGAGAAGACGACAAATGAAATTAGAAGTGAATCTAAAGAAAAAATAATAATAGTGAGACAACTAAGCAATGAGATTGGATCAATGGCTTGGGATTCTTTTGTAACATGGGAGGAGTATACATAACATTACATGATAATCTGGTTGGTGTTAAGTAAAAGATTTGATTTAATTAAGAACCCTAATGTGTTTAGCTTTGGTGGCTTTTGTTTTAGCCATACACTTGTTTGTCCATGGTTCGTCACTCTTATTGGTCTCCTTTGTACGTATAGCTTTTTAGCTAAAATTGTTTCTAATAACTCTTTACTTTGGTCTCTCACATTAAAAATTAATAGAAGTGATCATTGAGTTTGTCCATCACCAATCATTTTGGTATTTCTAGAAAAATCTTCGTTAAATGGAAAAACAAGTAGGGGATTGATTGGTAAAAATATCCTCAACTTAATAGAAGTTTTTCACAGAATGACCAAAATGATTGATATTTGACAAACTAAGATCCATTTCTATCGATTTTTAATAAGGACACTTTGGATGCGGTCCCTAGCTATCAATATTCTTTGATTGAAACCTTGTTAGTTTTTAGTTTTTGATTGAGGTTCCTAACATTAATGTAATAATGTAAGTTACTATATTTTTTAAATTAAAAATTAAAAATTGAAATTTGTAATTGTTTATATTAATGAGATTTTAAATAAAATCCATAATTTATGGGATTAAAAATAATAAAATATAAATTATACTCTCTATTATATTTTGTGTGTGTGTATACATATATGTAAGGATACATTAACCAAAATTAACAAAAAAGTTATTGTACCAAAACATGGATACATTCTCAAATCAACGAAAAAGAATGTACCCATATAAGTTTAAACATGGATTAAAAAATTTGAATGGATTTTATATTAAAAAAGGGTACATTTTACATATAACAAATTGATATATTTGAGAATGGGTACATTTAAGATTAAAAAAATTGAAAAATTATATGAATGGGTACATTTAAGATTAAAAATTAAGAATCTTTTTATATATAAAAAAAAACTAATAGGTACAAACTTAATTTAATTTAATTTTTTTATTATTTTGGAAATGTTTGAATTGAAAATTAATTAGAAGTTTAATAGAGGTGTGAGTATTAAACCCTAAATTAATTACTAATTTTTATATTAAAAAATTATATAATAAACATGTAAATTCATTATCACATTAATGCTAGGGACTTGAATCAAAATTTGATAACTAATAAGGTCTTAGTTAATAAACAGTAAGAACTAGGGACCGGATACTAATTTTTCCTTTTTAATATCAGGGATCAAACTGAGTAGTTATGCCAATCTTAGAAATTGTTTTGGCTAAAAAGCCTATTAGTTTACTAGTCCAAGATTTACCTCTGTAAATATTAATTTAACCTAGTAAACTGAGTTTAAGTGGGGGTAAAAATTAAGCTAGTTGGCATGTAAGATGAATTATTGCAAGGTTAATTAAGATAATAATTTGTGAGCTAGAATACAGGACCTTGCAACTTGACTTGCAAACAAGAGGACACAAAAATGGATTATATATTCACATTAATATTAAAGATTAAAATTAGATCAACAAAAGAAAGAAGGGGTGGAGGATTGAAAGAACCACGTTCCCTAACACATTAGAAATGCATATTAAATTTTTTTTTTACGAATTAAGGAAGAAAAGGGTCATCCTGTCTTCCAGATTCCATAACATTTACAATATTTTGGCAGTTGGGCATGACTGCATTTCCTGGCAGCTCTCTATCTATTTCCACACATACACATACATCTACGTTTCGAGGTAACAAAAGGTCACGGTTTTCGATTTTGACGAATGTCTTTGTGAAATAAAGTTTGGATACTAGAATTACATAGTGGAAGTCAATGAAAATGAATGAATAGCGTCGTGCTAACTTACTAACTGATTAGAGCTACATAATTACTAAGACTACTACTATTATCTATGTTCATATACACACACATAATATGTTCGTATGCGTAAAATTAAGTTAATATTGAATTTACATGTTGCTTGAGTTGAGCATGTGGGAAGGAGATATTTTAGGGCTGTGTCAGTTATGCTTGGTGCTTGCAAGAACTTCTTGTGTTTCACGTGGGGCATGAGTAGAGAACATATGGAGATATGCTCTCATAACTATATTTTAATTACTTCGTTTGAAACTAAACTCCGGGATTCTTCTATGTGATCGGTTGTATATTTCTCTTCCTTTATTTCTCACATCATGTGAATAGTTACGTAATAGATGAGGGGAGCAGAATATATAACCGGTTATAGTCCATATTTACCCTAAACTAGAGGCCTAGAGGTCTTGTTTTGTGGAGCTTTTGTCTGTGTCTGAGCTTCTCTGCCCTTTCATTTTCATTGGGGTTTGATGTAATATGTTAGCTCCCCTGAACTTGTGGCAGCACCTGCATCTGCAACTCACAACAATCTCCACCATTGAAGCAGATAAAATCAAGGGCTGAGGTTGTGGGAACTACATAGTACACTACATTGTTGATGAAGGCCAAGGAAGAGTGACGTGGCTCATGCTCTTTTATATCTTAATATTTGGTTCCCCAGAAATGCTCACTGTTGGGAAGGAATAAGTTGCTCTCACTAATCCTGTCACTGTTTTATCATTCATGTCAAATTATGGTTGCCTCTCTTGGTTGTAATACCATCCACGCTCTCTCAAAAGCTGTCACAATGTGCTCAGCAACACGAACACGAGAAGTTTTCGCGTGTGATGGTTTTGACGGGGGTCATTCTTCGTCTTGGACGACATTTCGTAGAATTAGCCGCTCTCGGGTGATTGCGTTCCCCGTCGGACAATCTTTGAATGAGAATTAAAAGATTAACATTTTCCGTACAATACAAAGTCGAAACGAATAACCATGAAGTTGGGCAAGTTTCAAACTTCTGCCAACACGAACACATGAACACACACACTCGGCTTGCTTGAAAATTTCAATCTTTTATTCAACCTGAAATTTGATTGATGCATAAACTATTTACATTCTAATACAGACAAAGTCTAATGTTATTTATAAACAAGCATAGAGTAGAACTGATATCGACTTCATAACCATATCATACAAGTACGGAATAGCATTTGGCTCGTGTCGGCCAGAAAGTGAAAGAGTTATGGCTCAACTTCTGTTGGCACCCTCTGCCTACTTGAAATAGAGGATTCGGGCTGCTAGACGTGAACCACAGGCTCATTCCTCCCACAGGTAAAGAGAACACGGGCTTAAGAGAATCCCCTTCAAATTAGCACTGCCATTGCCCCACAACGATCAGCTTGATCTTTTTCAACACTCTTCTAAGTTCCAACAAGCTGATGCGGTTCTTGGAGCAGGCGGTCTCATCTGACTGGGATTTTCTGCAGTTACTGGAACAATTGACAAAGACACCAATGGAGTCAACCAAAGGCAATTTGATATACAAATCCAGTATATATCAATTTTTGGTCAAGGAACTGTAAATTTTTACCAGATCAAATGGACACTTCTCATGGTCGATCCTCATCGGACCTCAAGCGTGTTAAACGCCGACGCCTTCTGGGGATTGGAGACAAATCTCTGTGATTAATCATAGGCATGTTGTCATCATCATTGTCCTCATCATCGTCATCATCGTCATCATCCTGAAGACCTAACAAATTCTCACCCCAAAGAAACCGGCGTTCATTTAAAGCACCTGCTGACCGTCGATGTCTTGTCCAAGGCCTCGATCGAGCCCTTGGTTCCCCAGCACGGTCAGCTGAGCCAATCATCTGAAACAAAAACAGAGTTGTCCACCAAGGTCCATTAGCTTCAACTACACCACTTTCCCCTCCACCCGCTAGCCTATCTCCATTTTCAATAACATAGTCCCCAACCACAACAGCACCTGGCATGGCTGAATGAATAGCACTTGCAACATCACCAAATTCTCTCTGGTGCTCAAGGTGTCGCCAGGCTCGTTCTCTAGACGGGTCAATGTCAGAGGGTCTAGTGGTTGGGTGAACTCTCCTGGCATGCCGGCGCAACTCCTGGTAGTTTCCAGAAAATGAGCATGATTCCCGAGAACAGCTTCGCTTCTTCAGGTTAAGATATTTTCTGGCATCTTCTACAACCTCCCATCCAAGAATGGCTCCACGGCACATAGGGCATTTCAAGCTCAATTGTGACTCCGGTGAAATTTCCCCATCCAAATCATCATGTTCAGCCCTTTCCTGAAATGACTCAGAATCAACCACTTCCATAAAACCTTCTGGTTGTGCTTCAAAAGGCCTATTTAAATCTTGAATAACATTTTGTTGTCGCAGTCCAGGTAAATTAACAGATAATACAGAATTGCTTTCAATCAGGTTGTGACTTTCATTAGCTTCATTTGAGTCTATTCTCAGAGGGATGTTCAGATCAGAAGTAATGCTAGGACCATAACGGTTTATAGGTAAAGGACTGGGTAGAGTTGGACTGTTCCTAGTATTTCCCTCAACTTTTTAAAACGGTCCAGGCAATTTGAATGCCTGTAACTTGTATCACATATATATGATCTGCAACCTTTATCATGCGAGCTACAAAGCAGGAGAACGGCATTATGTGGATGGTCCATGCAGATGGGGCACGAAACGGCATCCAGTTCTTTGTTAAGAGCATGAATATCTGAATCAGTATCTAATCTTCGTTTCACACCAGCCATCTTGTATACACTGTTTGATTTTGCTAAGCAAGTTGAAGTTATTATGACAAAAGTACCATCATGCATAATCAACGTTCATCAATTAGATAAGCAGGAATACACTACTGTCATGTTGTATACAGAAGTAATTTATTCTCTTATCATAAAATAAACAATAGAAGCATCTAAGTGGATTGCGCAGGGTACAAATGTTCTCTGGTAAATATTTCTGTATAATGTTTCACCTTATCCCTTCCCCATCCAATTCACATAACAATATGTCTTCAAATCGAGAGTACTAACAAAATTTTGAACAATTGTCAAATTCAATTTGACTAGCAGGAAGATAAGAACCTACGCAAAATCTAGGTCAATGACAACGTAGAGAAAAAAATTCAATCAGGTTTGGAGTTTCTAAAAGAATGTAGTCAGTCTAATACAAAAGAAATATAGTCATGCACTATGAAGGGTTTATCAAATTATTACTGCCAGGACTGTAATTCCTTTGTTCCAAAGAAATTAACATTATGTGCAATCAGAATAATTATCCATCCAGAAGAACATCCCTAATATAAAACACATGATTTGAAATATATCAGATCTATAAGGAACCATTGAACTACATACACTTACCAGAAGGCAAAGTTCTAAATAAATTCCCTACTTGGGCTTCTGATCTCTACTGCTTTACCAACTGAAAAATACCGAATCTGTACTTGACTCTAACAGAAATCACAATGCAACCACTCTTACAAATGCTCCAAAACGTGAGATAAAGAATGCAGCGAATGGAGAACAGTACAGAGTGAAGGAATTGAATTCTTGATTTGTTATAACGACTACGTCTTAGGCCGCAATGTCACAAATGAGGCTGAGACCTGCAGTTATATGACAAGACATAAGCGATGGCAATAGTTCAATCATGGCATTTTTCAGTAATATATAGAAGCAATATTAATAGAAACATCATCATGTATACATGTATCCAGACCAGATGAATTTTGAACTGAAATTTTAAACCTTAAGCACCATCGTATGATCATTAACATCGACCGAAAGCACTATATCATGCACCCCATTTACTTCAGACCATGATTACAACACAAACAATCGGATCATGCCACTTCACCACCTAAGTATTTTGCACCAATTCTATAGCTATTCTTAGATTCTAAAAGCGTTCACCCCTTCTGTATAGAGATTCTAAAAGTTCTTATATCCACCCGCCCCATTTCACATGAACAAAATTAGTGAAAATTCAAAGTTTAAGCAACCATAATCCTCTTAATTACCAAAATTAAGAGGAAATAAGCAAAATTAAACAAAATTGAGCATTATAACGGGTAGGGATCAATATGATCATTAAATCATTACAAAAATCCGATCTTTACCCGATCAAAAATTCAGTATCTAAACCCCACGGATAAACCCAAAATCGCTTCCAAACCCTAATCCTAAATCTAGCACACTTCAGATTCCAAATCATCATGGGATCAGAAAACCAAACAAAAAGGTATCAAATTCAGGTTTTAAAAATCACAAAAATCCATTAAAAACCAGATTCGTAAAGATCAAACTAGATCAAACCCACAAAAATGACCAGATCAACACAAATTAAATTACTGGAAATTCCAAAATTGAGGACGCGCAGAGAAATCGAAGATTTACAAAGAGCAATTATTTGATTTCGTCCTTGAATTTGGTGGCGGTTGAGAGATAGAGAGATTGCGTGAAGAAGTCGCTGAGATTTTCGATCGAAATTTCAGAAATTTAGGAAATTTTGTGAGGAAACGCGTGTAGATGAGATTAGGGATTTTATAATGCGTTTGGGAAAATGGGGGGTAACCACAAACCAGCGGCTCTTGCAACCGCCATCATGGATGGAGCGGTCGAGACTACCTCCCCCTTCTGTTGATGACACGCGGCGGTAATCAGGTGGATGTGGGGCCCATTGGCAGGTCCATTTGATCTTGCGTTTTGATCCTGCATCTCATAGAAACGTTTTTGCATCCATGATGTCGTTGATTACACGTTTAATTCTCGTGATTATAGCCTTCTATGCATTAATGAAATTCGATTAATCCGCTCAGATGAACGTTGGCGGTAATGCTCAACACATGCAATGTCGGAGGTGTTTGCAGTGGCGGACAGGTGAGTAACGCATAAGAACATGTCATTGGGAAATTACTGGCATGGCTATCAAAATTGTGAGCATCAGCGTGTATTCATTGTTACAATTGAAGCGGAAGTGTTGTGGATTATTCAAAAATCGAAGTCAATTTGTTTTATAAAAAGAAGATATTAATGAACTTTTATGAAATGGTTTTGCAGGATTTAGCCAATTGTCTTGATCGTAGAATATCATTGAGACTTCCACTTCTGTTGTTGTTTTTCATTCTGTTTCTTAGAAAATAGATGCTCAGCTTTAGCCATTCGAATTTTTTATATTCTTTTTTATTTCTCATCAAAAGAATGACATCTTCTTCTGGAAATCCTAGTTATTATTAGCTTGATATTGGAGAATCTCGTTGCTAGCACTCAAACAAACATGAAACATATGCGAACGTATTCATTCATAAGAATGATTTGTGTAATTTAGTCCATGCCAGCAACTTAAATTGTGAAAATTGACCAAAAACAATGGAACCTAGATTACCATATACTTATATTTTGAAGCATGCAGACATTTTGAAATTTCATTTTTTAAACGATAATTCATATCTATAAAATGTGAAAATAGTCCAAACATAAATAATAACATCGCTAAACAGTATGCACCCTACACATGTGACATCATGATTTGCTTGTTTGAGATATTTGCACATGCACACAGAAACCTTAATGCTTTCACCATGTCTCACACCTTCTATAAGTTCTAACTAAGTTGGCTATACAATTCCAATAAGTTATAAATAACTTTGTTATTAGGGAGTTGTTTATGATATTTCCTTCATCTTCAACTAGGTTTGTTTATTTCTTTGGGACATTGTCTAATTCTAATTGTTTAACATAATTAACGTGAGACATATATTGGTTTAAGTACGAAAATACTAAAGCACAAATGTAGTGATTTCACTATGACATGTAACCAGTCACCTTTTAATTCTTTGGCCAAATTTTCAAAGAATGACAAATATATCAATCACATATTGGATGAAGAAAAACAAATTTCCTCTTAGATAAAATTAAACAACAACTAGGTTGTTTTCTTTATTTAATTACCAAATACTAATCGTTTAGAAAGCATAAAAACCAAAGCATCCCTAACCCACCCCCTTTATAAAATTGTAAGAGTCATATGATTCATGCTTCCTCCACCATCATTTTTCACATTTTGTACACTATTATTTGTTTGTTCACCCAATATATAGGTTTAATATTATTATTGTTATAAACATTGTATTTAAGTGTGATTCTGTAAATGATACTAGTTATTCTTCCCTATTAGGACTTGTATTCCTTGGAGGAAAATGATTCTTCCCTCCCTTATTACTATAAATAAGGGCAATGCGTATGGAGAATAACACATCCTCTACACAACCCTACAAACGCACATCTCTCTACTTTCTCTCTCTGTCATGCCCACTTTCTCCCTTGTCATATTAAAATAAGCCACAACACGTTATCAGTATGGTCATACCACTGCGCTTAGGAATTGACGTGGAAGTTTTATGCATTAAACCAGTTCATCAATATCATCACGCAATCAGGTTCTTCCAAAGCAACAATTTTTATCTCGATATTTTTGCAACCTCAATAGCATGAACATAAACCATAATGCATAACCCAACATTACGTTTTTCGAATTTTAGATTCTACATAAATTGTGTATGTATTATATCCATAATTGTTGAATTATGTGAATTGCTATTGCCATGAATTGCATCAAATATCTATCCATGCATTGAATTATATGATGAATATGCATTGAATTATAATATGAAAATTTGAAAAAAAAAAAAAATTAAAGCTAGGGTTTTTCAAGAAACCACATCTCGTCACCGCCACATCGTGAGCCGTTGGCTTCTAAGACGTGTCGTGTCGAGCCACCAACACCAGGCCTACAACCTATGTGGTTGAGCCGAGCTGCGAGACCACAAGTCAGAGCCATGGGCTCCTGGTTTGAAACCTAGCAAAACTCGATACCTTTAATGGCGTCTATACCATTGCAGGTGGGCCTGCAGCCTAACCTTGACCTTGGGTCATTCTCCCGATGTTTTGATGAATGTCCCCCACAAGTTTTGCAGGAGATTCCTTCGAATCTTATCAGATTTTTTTGAAATTCCGATTTGACTTTTTAGGGTTTTGGTTGAAACATTGAGATTTTCCTATCTATGTTCATATTCGTGATCCCCATTGATTCACGAAATTGACCTGAGAATTTTTGTTCCATGACATGGCTGCCTGAAACGGCAGCTCCAATCTTCTTCCTCTCAGCCCAAAGCTAAAACCAATTATTGTTTTAGGCTTGTAGATTGCAGCCCACACTTGAACCATGTCACACCAGCCCATAGGGTTGTGGTGTCTCCGTGCACAAAACTGCATGAGATCCCAGCCTCTAGCTGGTGAGTCGGTGCACCTGCATCGTGACACACCTGATCACAATATTATGATGTTCCCATGTGTTGTGACGCACTGGATTGCATCCCCGGGAGCACTTGCATTGTGAAGCAGCATATCTGTGCTCTTTACGGGCCTTCTTGGATCTAGCCTAGAAATTTGGGCCTGCTTCTTCAACCTATCCTTTGGTCTTGGGCCTGTAGTCTAGCCGAGCCTAACCCTGCCAAATGTTTGGGCCTAGGTCTAACAATCTTAGTTTGCTCAACCCACCCGTGGGTTTTGGCCTATTATTTTGGGCCCTAAGCTTAATTGTTTATTTTTTAGACAATTTGGTTTTTATAATATTTTCACCCACACTTTAATATTGGCTAGAAGTCCAAATAATTAATTCAATTATAATTCTAGACCTGATTATCTATTTGCATATTTTCTTGTTGCATATTTCTGTATATATATTTGTGTTTGTTTGCAGGAAGATATGAACCTGAAGTTCATAATTCTTTCGAAACCTGAAGGTTTTAGAAACATGCCTTGTTTTAAAAAAACTTGAAGTTTTTCCTTAAAAACATCACCCATGAAAGCCTGAAGTTTTTTCATGTAAATTCAAACTGATCAATGTCTATTAGAACCTGAATGTTTTACTCCTATGTGAATCGATTGATTTTTCTTTATTACGCTAACCACATTCTTGTCCATTTATTTTGTGATAGAGACATGTCGAATTTGAACAAACTCAACTTCATTGCTTTAGAGGTCTTTGGAGATTACTACCTCAAGTAGGTCTAAGATGTGAAGCTCCACCTCATCACAAAGAATTTGCATCCCACCATTGAAGATGAGACGGACAATCCAGTTGTTGAAGCTGAGAAAGTCATTGCCATGATCTTCATCCGAAGACACATTCATGATGCACTGCAAACTGAGTACCTTGCTGAGGAAGATCCACAAGCATTTTGGGTCGCTTGGGCTGATCGTTTCGATCACCAAAAGGGCATATTCTTGCCTGAAGCAAGACATGACTGGCAGCATATGCGCTTCCAAGACTTTAAGTCTGTGAATGAATATAATTATGAAGTTTGTCGAGTTCGATCACTTCTCAAGTTCTGTAATGAGAACTTGACTGAAGAGGATCTCATAGAGAATACCTATTCGACCTTCTCTGCGACCAATATTGTCTAATATAGGGCTCAGAAGTTCTTAAAGTTTTCGGATTTGCTCTGTTTTACTTCTCGCTAAAAAACATAATCAATTGTTGATGAAGAATCATTAAGCTCGATCTACTGGGGCAACTGATGTGCTTGATGTGGATGCAAATTTCTTCTTCCTTGTTCATGGACAAAATTGCACCTACAAAATAAACAACACCTTAGGTCAAGGCCAAGAGCCTTATGCGCCCATGATGAATTGGGGGGGGGGGCTTTGGCCGAAGAACCTTTGATGCAAAAGTTAGAATTTTGAGGGAAAAGTGTTTGGAGAATGAGAATTTAGTAAGAGTGTAGAACTTAGATTTTGGAGAGAATGAAAGTGTTTATATAGGGGTGTGGCTGGCCCATTTGGGAAGAGATGGACCAGCCACTTGGATGGTTTTTTTTGGGTAATTAGTAAATTAATTGAATAATAAATCAATTAATTAGCTAATTAATGTAATTAAAAAGGAATGATTTGGGGGCTACCTTGTGGAGAATATTTGATGAGGATGGATGAAATAGGTTTTGAATAAATACATATTTTGGGCACTTTTGACTTGATTGAGGGATGGTTGTTCATTGCTCGTGCGTAAGAGTTCTGGTGTTTCTCGAGGGTAGTTTTGTCATGTTTTACCCTAGAATCCACGTGTCACCTCTATATTCTTCTTGATTATTTTTGGCACCACAAATGCCCTACACCTGTTGAACTGTTCGTAGGAAAGGGCAGCAGGTGTAGAGATCTTCTTGCTTTAGGAAACGTGGATTGTTTCCTATTTTGATGTAGATTCCATTTTTAATTGGAAATTAGATCCTTCTAGGAAAAGGAAATAAATTTCTCTCAAAGCCTATTTAAGTCCACCTTAAGTGGATTATTAAATCAACTTTAGAGAGTGTTTTATTCTACCATGCAAGAGAGAAAGAGCTTAGAAGATATTTGTTCCCCCTCCTCTAGCAATCTTCTACATCTTTCCCATGAAAAGGATCGTCTTTCGTTGCTTGCTTTGTCTTCACTACGCCGTACCAAGGTAAGAAAATTTTAACTTTTCCTTGTCTTCTTCTTAGAAAGTGCTGTCGCGAGGCATTTGTTGGGGTAATGCGGCATGTTAGC